ACACACACACACACACACACACACACACACACACACACACACACACACACACACTTGTATTTGCATCAATCTAAGGACTTTATATTGACTTCCATTCATTTTTGTTGCTGTATTTATGTCTAGCCTAGACAATTTCCCTAAAATTAACCATTACTAGTCTATACCAAACTCTAACCTGAACCAAAACCTAATTCACACCACACCTAACTAGTAAAGCACAGCGGAGCTGCAAACAAAGTGAGGACATTGAAGAAGTCATAACTTTACCTCAAAGACCTCACTTTGACAGTAACTATGGTACAAATGGTCCTCACTCTGTAGTAGAAACAAGTACACACACACACTCAGCCCCTACAGTCCTTGTGTACAGTTGTGAGTACATAGATTGTTGCAACATTTACCGCCTTTCTCAGATCCTGTTTTTCTCAAGAAATCACCAAAACATCCCAGCCGTGCAGAGAGAAGAGCTCACAGTTTTACAGTGATGATGGATCTGTGCACTAAACACATATGTGTGCTCTAACTGACGGTGCAGACATTTTTACAGAGTAAAGCTTTAACACACGTGACTGCAGTTTGTTCTGTGGAGCAGCAGCAGCAGCAGCTCGACAGCTGACAGCGTGAGGCAGAAAACACCAAGACTTTCTGATGCAATAATGTGTAACGGTAATAAAAGTGGAAACACACATGAAAGAAGCTGCATTCGAACCTCTGCACACGCTCGCTCTTTGACAACGTTAATAAACTTCAAGTGTGATCAAAAACAGTCTGTAAAAGAGAAAAAAACTTTGTGGTGTTTTTGTGGTGCACTGGTGAGCTTTGGGAGTGAACATCTAAAGACTGTTTATATGGAGAGATGGATTATAGTTAGAGGGATGAATGTGTAGATAGAATGATGGATGGATGGATGGATGATGGATGGATGATGGATGGATGGATGGATGGATGGATGATGGATGGATGGAAGGATGGATGGATGGATGGATGATGGATGGATGGATGGATGGATGGATGGATGGATGGATGGATGGATGATGGATGGATGGAAGGATGGATGGATGGATGGATGATGGATGGATGATGGATGGATGGTTGGATGGATGGATGGATGGATGATGGATGGATGGATGGATGGATGGATGGATGGATGATGGATGGATGGATGATGGATGGATGGATGGATGATGGATGGATGGATGGATGATGGATGGATGGATGGATGGATGGATGATGGATGGATGGATGGATGGATGGATGGATGGATGATGGATGGATGGATGGATGGATGAATGAAGGATGAATGATGGATGGATGGATGATGGATGGATGGATGGATGGATGGATGATGGATGGATGGAAGGATGGATGGATGGATGGATGATGGATGGATGGATGGATGGATGGATGGATGGATGGATGGATATAAGCTGTGGCAGAGCTACAAATGTAAATCCATTGATTTTTCTGAGTTCACCAAAATCACCTGGTTCATAACAACAGACCAACACACACAATCTTGTGTTTCTATCCTTATGAGGACAGTGTACTGACTTCTATTCACTTCTGTAGCCTAAGCTTAAACCTAACCCTAAACCTAAACCTAACCACTACTCCAGTAATGTTCCACTGTATTAGATACTGACAAGATAGGTGTTTATACTAAAAAAGGTCCTAAAATGGTAACAAAAAAACCAGCTACACACATTATCATTGCAGACATTTCATGGTGGTAAAGTAAATTTTCATGTGAAACTGTTACTGGGTTCACAGTGCTAGCTTTCACACATTTTTATTCCTCCTCTAAGGACATACAAATAAAAACAGTTCCTGTCTTTGTGCATCAGTCACAGACAGGCTGCCACGTTTCCTCCTCTATCAAAGGGGAAATCCTCAGTAACGACATCATATCCAAACCATGGAAAGGCGTGTTTTCCAAGAACAACTCTGGACACAAAGAGACTACAGACAAAACTATCTACCTGTGAGCAGTGACGTGCCTGCAGCTGAAAGGCACAACCCATTGAAGAAATCCTGGCAGTGTGCTTTTACAGTGATATATAAAATGTATATAACCTTCAAATTCAACAACAATAATGAGAATTTATATTTGACTTCAACTTGCAAGAGTTAAAAACAAAGCTTTCTATGAATGTATGAAGTGACTGAGCTTGTTTGACGTGAAGGTGTGTGTTTGACAGCAGTGGAGAACAGGGTGGGGGTTTCAGACTACCTTTGGCGTTGGGGTACTTTCTGAGCTCCTGCTGCAGAGCCTCCACAGGAAACGGACACAGCTCCTCCACGCGGATCAGCGGCGTGTTCTGGTTGGCTGCTGTTTCCCTCTGCTTCAGCAGAGCGTAGTAGTGCTTTCCGGAGCACAGCACCACCTTCTGGACACTGTGTGGAATGACAACACTTCAGATGAGTGAATAACTTCCACATACTTTTACCAAAAAATAAATAAAGTATAAATCCACAAGCAAAGTTTCTTTCAGATTTTTACCAGTTAGAGTTTATATAATACCAAAACTACATTACAGAATAAATAAAACCTAAGTTTACCATTTCATTTGTTTTGTACCTTTCTGCAGAGACAGAAGCGTCTCCCAACACGGGCCTGAAGCTTGTTCTTGGTCCCAGTTCAGTTAAACTGGACACTGCCCCCTGAAATAAATAAATAAGAACAGAAAATCTGTAACCTTTATTATCAGTGTTACAAACATTTGAAAAACAACAGGTTACACTATCAGTTTATTCTTCTTTACACCATCTGCGACACTCACAGAAAATCTCAACAGCGTCTTGGGTCCGACCACGATGAGGGGTTTGCGGAAGTTTCGGATCATCTGCCTCCTCAGCAGGTGGAAGTACTGGGCGGGGGTGGTGGGGTTCACCACTGCCATGTTCACATTGTCACCGTCCACACCCTCCTCCTTACTGTCACACATCTGATGGACCGAAGGAGTCGAGTTAACCACTGTTTACAGTTCAGGTAACGTCAGCGTTTGCTCTATTATCCAAGGAGGGTGCCCCGTCCAAAGAACCAGGAAATAAAAGCTGACATTCAGAACTTGTCTCATCTTTTGATCTTAAACCCAAATGTCTTCAGTGTACAACAAAAACAAGAGAATTTGACTTGCTGTTCCAGTACTGTTGGAGGGGACTGTACATCTCCCATAGTGCATGTTATTTTATCCACCAATAGGTCTCGGTGCACAGGCTTTAAAAGTAGCTGGCAGCCAGTGAAATTCACCTTTTTAGCTGCATTTTCACCAGCTACTTTTACTGCGGCCCAGTTGTACTGGGAAGTGGAAACTTCCCACTTACAAGTTGTAAATTTAAATTAGAGTAGGGCTGAATATCCTGGCCAATTCTTTAGATCGATTCAATTTCATTTCATAAGGTTCTGAATCGATTAATCACGATTCTATTCGATTTGCTCTTAAATAATGAAAATGGTTCAGCTGTGTTGCAAATTACAATATCACTATTTTTTCTCTTCACCATAAGGACAAACTTTTATATTAAACAGTTTAATCTCGAAGGAAAACTGTCACAAGTTTACAAGGTTTTAAATTAAAAAAGGAATTGCAGGTGACAGTGTTGGAGGAATTCATTTTTGAGTAATTAATAATTATTTTGATAAATAAGAAGTGATAGGAATAAGGTTGCAGGAGAAAAGGTAAATATAAATATACTTCCGCCCACTCCTTTTGAGTGCATGAAAATTGTATATTTATAATGTTTGTTACCTTTTGTTACATTCAATATAACTTATTAAACTTATTGCTTATACCTTATTAAATCAAATAATACAACTACAACATTTCATCACTGTGGATTTCATTAAGATGTTTCTTAAAGTTTAAAAAAGTAATATTGGTAACAAAACTAAACTATTTTGATAGAATGTGGTCTTTCACACATTTATACATGCTGAGGACAATTTCAGTCAGATGTTTACATACCGTTTGGTTCAAGCGTCTAACGAGTCGCTTGTTGAAGTTTGCTTCGTTTTCGCCATCCTATAGGAGCACAAATCTTTGCAAACAAAAGTCACCGTGGTCTCTGTTGTCTTTAAGTACTGCTGAAAATCAGCTGATAACGTGAGTGATTCCTTAGTTTCTTTTGTGTTGCTCCAGACAACTTGTTATAGAAAGCTAATGTTAGCACTAAACGTCAACTGGATGTAAATATACGGCAAGCCAGGAGTGACAAAATATGGAAACGCATTTCAGACGTGTATATAAGAAGCCATGGGGAAGAATCGATCTCATGCCCTGTGAACTAATGTTCCCAAATTCAAATGAAATCGATCCAAGATCGATTAAATCGATTTTTTTTACACAGCCCTAATTAGAACGCCCACATCTGTGGGAATTTCCTGTCAGAAAGTGGGAGTGTTCAAAGGTCAAAGTGGCAGCTATTCACCACAACTCAACAGCAAGTAAAACTCCTACTTTTAATAGCATTTCTGTATTATTTATTTCACATTTAGTCAGTCGAATGTGAAGCACTTTGAAGTTTTTATAACAGGAGGGGTTAAAACACTTTCTAAGCACAATATACCATGTAGAGCTCAGTCTTATTCTGATACCTTTCATCTGCTGATGCATGCAGTCCTGTAGGTACCATCATCTCAGCTAATTTGATACTGACTGATAAATTCTGGCCTGTTATTCCACCATCAGGGTGAATCGTTGCCTCATATGGAGAAGCTGAAGTTTTGCTGAAGGATCAGGACCTCGGGTATTGTTCAAGTCTGTGGTGGTGAGCAAGGAGCTGGGCTGACAGGTGAAGCTCTTGATTAACTGGTTGGTTTACTTTCCACCCCTCAGCTAACGTCATGAAGTACGGAGCGGAAGAACGAGATTCAAAATACAAGAGCTTCCTCTGGAACAAGGCCGAGCTCTGCATTAGAGATCATGTGAAGAGATCTGTCATCTGGAGGGGGTCCTCTCTCTGGAGGTTTCCCAGACATGTCCTGCTGACAGGAAACCTCCAGGAAGACCCAGAACTTACTGTTAATCATAATAAACTGATGATTCACCCAATTACAGAGTCATGCTTTAAGCTTATCCAGTAAATGAGTCACAAACTCCAGGTGAGTTTAGCTTTGCAACGTGAACCTCTTACAGCAACAGCAGCGTCATTTGCGACCCGGTTCACGGAGCTCATCCCTGTCGGCACACTGACCTGGAGGAAGCGCTCCATGCGGCAGGACGAGTGTTCGGGTCCTGCTCCGTCGTAGCCGTGGGGCAGCAGGATCACCATCCCGCACTGAAGCAGCCACTTGGCTTCACCTGGGAACACAATTTCCCTTCGTACACGGGAGGATTTCCACATCTTTTACGGAATTTTTTTTTTTAGGAAAGAGGCCGCTCACCTCCTGAGATGAACGTGTCGAAGATGATCTGCGCTCCGTTGAAGAAGTCTCCAAACTGGGCTTCCCAGATGGGCAGGAGCTGCGGCTGCGCGATGCTCATGCCGTACTCGAACCCGAGCACGGCTTCTTCAGACAGCGGGCTGTTGCACACCTGAAAACACGCAGCCATGACAGGAAGTAACGCCGGGACGCCTGCAACCAATTCACACCAATTTGCATAAAATGTAAAATAAAAACAGAACGCTCTGATTTAACAATAATTTCTTAGTTTAAACATCTGCATGAAGTACGAGTTTTACCTTTTGTATTTAAATTAAATCTAAATTCAACAGTTTATTCATTTAATTAAAAAAAATGATAAATAAAAATAAAATACAAAAAACTAATAAAATGAAACGAAAGGCAGCAGGAAGAAGAAATAAATCTTATATCTCTGCCTTTTCTACATCAAATAAACTCAAACAATAATAATCTTTACGTAACAAAATAAAAAAGTAAAATAAAAAAGTAACCATCAAATCTTTCTCAAACTAATAACCCATTCTAGGCAGGTCATTTTTACATTATTAGTTCGAAAAAGGAGTATAGATAAAAGATACAAGATCTTCTGATTTCCTGCCCTTCTCGTACTCATTACATTTAAATGTTCTCACACCAGATTAACTCAGATTATTCCCACATTGAATGACACTTAAATCGTACATTCTCAACCTTACATGTACAATTATTTATACATTTTTTATATAAAAAACATTGAGACACCCATCCTACATAATATATTTCCCAGTAAGCTCCTTTTTAAACATTTTTTTAAGCTGTTTTATGTTTACTTTCTTTGAGCTCATCATTTAATCCATTCCATAAACCTACCCCACACACCGATAAGTAAAAGTTCTTTTTGGTTTTTCTAACACATTGTTTTCTAAATTTTCTTTTTAAATTTTAACCGCCCTCACTATCATGAAACATGTTTTGTATATTGTAGTTGTATATATTTATGTTTTTCACAGATTAGGTCAATCCTGGTGTTTTTATAAGAGTTTTTTACCTCCAGGAAGCCTGTCTGCAGGGGGCTGATGTGGTTCAGAGGGATGTACGTGTCGTTTGTGTCCTGACACACAACCATGGCATGTCGCTGACTGAACGTGCCTCTCCCGACGTCCTGCCCACTTATTCTAATATTGAAACCTGTAATATCAAATACGGTTAAAGTCAATCAAATTTTAAACATCAGCAATGCTCAGGTTATATATTGTATTTATTCATTTCATTTAAAAAAACAAAACATTAAATACAACAAAACAATACAAATAAAATAAAATGAAAGGCAGAAGAAGAAAACTATTTTATATCTGCTCCTATTTACAAAAAAATAATAATTTCAAACAATAAACCAAATAATAAAACAAAACTAA